TGGTGGTATGAAATGTTCCCGTTTACACGGTCAAAAAAACACAGTACACTTCCTGTCTAACAATAACAACACAATTACACTTTAATGTCTCTAATAAGTGAGTGACTCTCTGGCACTCCGCAATTGAGCAACACTCCGGTACCCGACAATTAATTTGATAACTACAATACTGGTTCCTGACCAGCCACAAACCTACCCACTTTGGTTAGCTCCCTAGTCAGTGCTGCGGTCAGCACTCCTCACAGCACTACCTCCACACACCCTCTGACTCTACACACCCACAAATTTTCCCTCTCTAGGCAGGACAATCTCCCCCACATTCTTGGGGATACTGTTACCTCACCCACCTGACACGTGTGACCAAGCTGTGGACTGTCCATCAACACTTGCTGACATCCACACACCTGACACATGTTACAACTGAACTTAACAGAACTAAATGCATTAGTTGAAAAAACCATGTTTGAAACACCTGCTAATTGTAAGGAACCAAGTCCGAGCGTTATTTTTATTTTTACTTTTATTTTGCTTTTATTATATTTTGTTTGGGGCTTATGTTTAGTTAGGATGAAGGTTTCATCACCTGTCACCTTAGAAAGTTAAAAAGAGAAGATAAAACCAACTCACCGACGAAAAAAAAGAAAGCGCCATAGCTAGCAATTGCACTCATGTGCACGCCCGAGCGGCAGATAGTAAGCCCGCACTGAAAGGGGGGAAGACCCCACAGACTTTTAGGAGACTTGTTAAACCTTAAAGGAAACATCCCGATAATTGTTCACGAAAAGACTGTAAAAGGTTAACAAAGTATTGTCGGGAATTAAGCTACCAGATAAACAAGAAAAAAGTGAATGTTACATATAAGTATGTAAATGAGGGGAGTGTCTCACTTAGAAACTGTGACGTCACCTCAGACTATAAATAGTGTAGCTCAAGTGAAGAATGAAGAGGTGAGCTCCTGAACAGAAAGCGTAGTCTGCTAGTAGCAGTGAACAAGGTGACCAATAGGAAATAGTCCAAAGCGATTGAAGTTTCGATTTGTGGATTGAGGAATAGGAAAGTCTTGAGTTGGAAAAAAAAGGTTCCTAGTATAATTGAGGTGACGGTTAGGATTTATAGTTGTAAGAAATTCTGTACCTTAAGTTAAGGATTGATTTTTGTCGGAATTCCAAGGGGAATAGTTCTAAGTTAGAATAAGATTGAATTTTGTCGGGTTGACTTTTGGATTTTATTTGTTTGAATAAATTTGTTGTTTTGTTATAAATATTGTAAATAGTTATTCCTAGATCGTTATTAAATACTTTTATTGATTTTGACTAACTTGTCTCTAATTTTTTTTCGGTGCACGCAAAAGTCCAGGCCTGGCAAACTAACAAACGCGAACTCGCGTAAAGTACCCGTTGGGTACTGGCTCTTTCCGGAACGAAATTCGTTGTAGAGCGATAAGCTAAAAATAGTACTTTACATAATAAGCAGTACTGAGTGGGTAAATGTGTGTGTATTGCATTCTATTAAGTACATTGAACCATCAAACACTAACAATAAGTGGTTATTCTGTGTACAAGTGTACCAGTACTTAGGTTAGTTTTCAACTTACGACAAAACCTGACCTGTTTGCAAGTAGGGGAGCACCTGTATGTCATTTTAAATGGGTCAAGTTTGTACCACAAAAGATGTGGATTCATATTCAGCATTCATTCCACTTTAAGTTCAAGGATTGATTCATTCCAATGTCAAATGAATAATTAGGAATAATCTTGAATATTAAACCTTGAGAAGAACATTGAACTAATATCAAAGTACAAACTTTTAATACCAATGATTCACAATAGTAAGGCTATACATTCTCATTGTGATTATATACTGAATATATGAAGGAATTGTGTTTTTAAAATGAAAATAAAAAATGTTCAAATATAATTTAAACATTAAAATACATTAAGGAAAACAGGGGATATTAATGTTAATTTTATTGAAGTATTTAAAAATTGTTGTTTATTCTAATTATTTTTATATAGGGTGCCTTAACTGATGATGAAACATTAACCGTCATGGGACAAATGTTATCACGTCTTCCAGTAGATGTCACAATTGGTAAAATGTTAATTTTAGGATCAGTTTTTCATCTTGTTGATCCAGTTATGACTTTAGCTGCTGTTATAAGTGTACAATCACCATTTACAAACCAATCACTGAAAAATCAAGATATAATTGTAAAGAATTATTATTACTTTTTTTATTTCAATTATAAAAGTTATTATTCTAATCAAATCTTATATTATAATTCCAAATTATTTTAGGCTGCTCAGAAGACTTTGCATTCTACTCAGGGTGATCCTTTTACATTATTAAATGCATATCACAAATGGTTGGAAATTAAATCTGATAGGAATGAGAATTCACGTAAATGGTGTAAAAGACATGGAATTGAAGAGCAAAGATTTTATGAAGTTACGAAATTAAGAAAACAATTTAGAGAGTTGTTGCAGGTATGCTTTTTTTTAATAACAATTTATATATATTCAATAAAATGTTTCAACAGTTTTCTATAATTTAATCAACGTTTCACTTTTTTTTTTCTGAATATGTATTTTAATACTTAAACTGTCTTCCTAGTACAGTGAATGATCGGTTAACAAACATAATCTGTTCCAAGACTTTGTTCGATATCTGAATTGTTCATTAACCGATTATTTATTTACCATAGATTTTAATGGGAATTTAATTACAGCTCTCCCTTGATAGTCCGACGTTTTTTAATCTGACATGCTCAGTAGTCCGATGCACCTCTTGTCAAGGTACCTGTCCTCGTTACATGTCTGCTTGCACAGAAGCATGTCGTGACATGAATCTCCCCATCCAATTCTTACATGATGACACACATTTCGTGTGTTTTCTGTGAGCAGTTCTGTTCGAACAGTTGGAATAGGGAATATTGTAAGCTACTGCTAGCAAAACAATGCAAAATATGCAATTATTTTCGGTAATCTGGACACTTTTGGTAATCCAACACCCTTTGGTCCCACACCTGTCAGACTATTAAGGGATGTCTGACAGGTATGTAATTCGTTCTGGAGACCCCCAAAATAAAAAATATATACTTTCTTTCTATGTTTATGTATATATAATAATAAAAATACATACATACACAGTCTTGCATTTTTATTAGTCATGTTTTTTCCATTTGAAAGGGTTAAAGAATTTGTCTAATGTCGATTGCTTTTCTCTCTTCTTCAGGATTTTTCGTAAATAATTAATAGCATTGCAATTGTAGAAATCCCCAAGCTTCAACCTGGTTTGGATGCCATTCTAAGACCGTTGTTCTGACATCCTCCCACTTCTTCAAAGGATCTTTAATAGAAGATATCAGCGTTAAACCTCTTTTTCAGAAGAAAACATATCTCACCGAGTTTCTTGGTGTTCTTCATTCAAGAGTTCTTGGTGTTCTTCTGTTGTCAGATCCATTTCAGGTTCCATAATCAGCTCTTCGATGTTCTTTATTTCTCAGATATGATTTTCATTACTCCTTTAGCTGCTTGAGTATTCTTGATTATACAGTATTTTTCTTAAATAAGATTGGTGTGAACAGGCCTACTGTAGACCTGCTCACGCCATACTGCCCAGTAACATTAGGCATCCTCTGCCCACTCTCTACCTTTGCTATTATACTCTCACCTTTCGAAAAGAAAAACAGACACAAAATTTAAGCGTGCCTATCCGACAGTCTCGCGAATATATAAAAGAATTGTTTTGTCAGAAAAATAAAAGGCTGGAATTACAAGGGAGAGTTTCAAAGTTCGGAGGAATACTATCCGATCAGTATATACTGGGTTGAGCATCGATGCCAATGTCTCCCGCACTCCGAAAAGTTTCAAATTGTTGCCCGAAGACAAGGGAAGACCAATCGGTATTCATTATTTTACGTCGCTTCTTCTTGTGTTTGTTCTGTGGGGTGTTCGTTATCCGATCATGTGTTTGTTGTCCGAACATAAAAATCTTTATGCTTCTAACACAATAAAATGCTATAAATTAAGACACTTGGTGGGTTTTCTCATCTTTATTTAGTTGATACGTGTGAAAAAATTACATGTTTCGGGCTCTTAAGCCCCTCTTCAGCCAACTATGCATATAAGTCTTATAGATTGAAGTAACAGTTTATTCTCGATATTTTTTCAGTAACATCAGCTTATTCATAATATTTTTTCTTTCAACTAACTTGAGTATGGCTGTTATTAAAGTTGTATACAATTGATTATACCTTCCACTTATAAAACAGTTCTACAAAATCCTTGATCTAAAACATACTTTGGACAACAATTATCAAATTAGTATACAATTGATCATGCTTTCCACTCATAAATCTGTTTTACGAAATCCTTATTTCCTTTGATACGCATTGACAATATAATACGAATTTACATAACTTCTACAATATAAATTTACATATCTGACATCTACAATATTTTTACAATGTATGATTGTTGATTTATTTAACATTTAACATCATAGATTATTATATGAACTAATGATGTTACAATGTCTTGAAGTTGGTAAACCTGATCAACAGTTAATATAAATTTACATATTATTTGACTCCCATTACAACATTACAGTTTTTTGTTATTGTTGATTTATATAACAGTTCAATAATTATTATTAATTAGCACATTGATCTCAATAATAGTTTGGATCTAGTGAATACAATTAATATAAAATTTTTAACCAGTTTTCGTTTATAGAGATGCTAGGATTTTTATTTATACTATTTTGATTTTTGATTATTTCTATACTTTCNACCACAGTTAACTATAATTCTAACATACCACTTCATATAAAACAAAACATATTTAATATGGAATACACTAAAATCAAAAATAGAACTAGTATAAATACTAAACAAATCGAACATTTAAATACACTAAAGAAAAAATTTATTCTTTCAGGATACCCAAACAGAATTCTTAATATTTGGGAGACAGAAATAGATAAAAAAACAGATAAAACAATAAGAATAGATCCTAAACAAGCAGAAATAAAATATATTCGTTTCCCATACATAAAGGGTCTATACGAAGAAGTTAATAAGGAAGTCAAAAAAATTAATGTAAAACTAGTACCGACATATGATAAGTTACTCTCCAGATTAAATGCAAAACAAGTTAACAAAACAAATATAACAAAGAAAGAAGAAAGTAAAAATGTAGTTTATAAAATTCCGTGTACATGCGAAAATAAAAAATTTTATATAGATGAAACTAAATGTAAAGTTAAAGTAAGATTGAAAGAACATATAGCCGATCTGAAATATCATAGACTAAATTCTGCTTTTCATGAACACTGCCTTTTAAATAATTGTAATATAGACAAAAATATCATAGATATTTTACACAGAGAAAAAGAAACATATAAAAGAAAATTCAAAGAAAGTATAGAAATAATCAAAAATCAAAATAGCATAAATAAAAATCCTAGCATCTCTATAAACGAAAACTGGTTAAAAATTTTATATTAATTGTATTCACTAGATCCAAACTATTATTGAGATCAATGTGCTAATTAATAATAATTATTGAACTGTTAAATAAATCAACAATAACAAAAAACTGTAATGTTGTAATGGGAGTCAAATAATATGTAAATTTATATTAACTGTTGATCAGGTTTACCAACTTCAAGACATTGTAATATCATTAGTTCATATAATAATCTATGATGTTAAATATTGAAATGTTAAATAAATCAACAATCATACATTGTAAAAATATTGTAGATGTCAGATATGTAAATTTATATTGTAGAAGTTATGTAAATTCGTATTATATTGTCAATGCGTATCAAAGGAAATAAGGATTTCGTAAAACAGATTTATAAGTGGAAAGCATGATCAATTGTATACTAATTTGATAATTGTTGTCCAAAGTATGCTTTAGATCAAGGATTTTGTAGAACTGTTTTATAAGTGGAAGGTATAATCAATTGTATACAACTTTAATAACAGCCATACTCAAGTTGGTTGAAAGAAAAAATATTATGAATAAGCTGATGTTACTGAAAAAATATCAAGAGTAAACTCTTACTTCAATCTATAAGACTTATATGCATAGTTGGCTGAAGAGGGGCTTAAGAGCCCGAAACGTGTAATTTTTTCACACGTATCAACTAAATAAAGATGAGAAAACCCGCCAAGTGTCTTAATTTATAGCACTTTATTGTGTTAGAAGCATAAACAAATTGTAAAGCACGGTTTCATATCATCAAAATAAAAATGATATGTA